GGAGGCAGTGAAGGACCGGAAGGCCTGGCACACTATGGTTCATGGGGTCACGAAGAGTCGGACACGACTTAACGACTAAACAACAACAAATACTTACTAAGTTTTGGGAGAAAATAGTGGACTACATAAACACAACTATGCAGCAAAAGCTAAAACTTTCAGAGGATAATATTCTCTTGAATTACATGGAATTCAACAACTGGACAACATAAATGGATTCTCTGTGCCCTTACTATGGCCAAAAGACTGATATTGCAGTATTCAAAAGATAAATGTGTGGCCCCATTCACTCAATGGATTGAAGACCTGATTACACTTGCCACCTATGAGCAGATTGCCTATAGACATAGACTTTGTATGGGCAAATACAATGAGATAAGGACCTCATTTATACAAAAAAGAATGATAGTTATGTAAGTGTATTAGGAATAAATATATATGTACTTGAATATTTACATTAGATAAGTATATATAAAATTATAACTGTTAACTTGTTTCTTTTTTCCTTTTTCTTTGTATTTTTTCACTTTTTTAACACACTTTTTATGTGTTTTTTTATTTGAGAATGTACTGTATGTATTTGCATTATAATTATTTTTGTGTTTTGTTCCTTTTCTTTTTTCTTTTTCTGTTATTATTTTAAAAGCAATAAAAAAATAAAAAGATTGCTGTGGAATTATGTTTTGGGGACTGTGAATTAGCATTTCTAGTCTAAGCCAATTTCCAACAAGTTGAATGCCATTAGAATAAGTTAAACTAATTTGCATGTAATAATCACAATCCAAAGCAAATCAGACCTCATAAAGACCAATGGAGTGCTGGAATTTATTAAGCAATATGCTTAATTAAAACCATAGGTTCTTATATCTGATTAATCAATTATAATGTTTTGCTATAGCTACAGAAACAGGACACTACACACATATAACATTTATCATTTTTCAGAAACCAAGAAAAGCAGTTCTATTTGTATGATCCTCGCCTATAAGATTCACTTATCTAACTGTAGCATACTAGATATTTATAGGCCTGAATTACATTCCTATATTTGTAAAAGCACCCATATTTTTGTCCACAGAAATGCTTTGGATTCTCAATCTATTTGTCAATAGCCATCACTACTTTGAAACTGTGTTCTTCAAACAGTAATATTCTTACACAGTAGAACTGAGTTCCCAATTTTTTGGACCAATGGGCAACTTGAATTTTGGAGATAGAGATGCTCAAAATGTTTCAATATCAAAAAGTCCCAGCCCTAAAATGTTTTGTTCTGACCTTGAAACTATCCATTCTAACCTTCATTTTGCAATCAAAATGTCTGTTTCAGGGCTGTAATATTTCTGTAAAATTAGACCAGGCCTTTTCAACACTGGATGATTTCCAGTAATGTCAGAGTTCAGACATTTCAACCTCATAATATTTTGCACAACTGTATTTGGAAAGTGTTTTAGTAATGACCAGCAACAGAACAGAAATCTACCAAAAGGCAAAATAATAAAGATTCTTCCCTTGCCCAACTTTATTTTTGTTTTTCTTCTGTGGTAGGCAGATACACTTCCAAACAATAATTGGCTTAAAATCACCTGCTATTTTTATTTTCTATGAAAAAGTGCTGGAGGCTTAGAATTTGCCAGAACCATATTGGGAACCCCAGCCACAGACCAAATTTCTTTCAAGATATATTCTGAGGGTAAAATAGTCAAATTTCCCAGCTTATAGCTATACACTCTGGCATACCTACAAGAACTCTCTGAATTCTAGCTAATGACTCACAATAAGATGAAATTGTTTTGTTCCAAATATGCTTGGTAACAGAAAACACAGAATATGAAATATATAAATGCTTTTTATGTATTTTTAAAATATTTATTATAACGAATGTACCTGCTTTTGGAGCTTCATTTGGCTGTCCTCTAATTCACTATTCCTAACCGTTTCCTGATGTAACATTTGCTGCTGCTGCTGAAGACTTTGCTGTAGAACAAGATTTTGTTCACTAGTTGACTGAAGATTGTCATTCTTATGCTTTATTTCTTTCTGCAACCTCTGGACCTGGAAAAAGACTAATATGATGAGACTATGACGAGGCAATTAGTTTTCTCAGCTTGCTACTATTTCACCTTTAGCAGAACTGCTCTCTCAATAAATTTATATGGTACTATCAAGTTGTGGTTCATTAAAGTCTTTTATTAATGGAAATAAAAATCTACAGTATGGGCTATATACAAAAACATGCTTTAGCTTAAAATAATTAGGAATGAATCCTGATTTTCAGAGTCACTTCCACATTATCAAATATCATGCTTTCTATCTTTAGCCACTGCTGAAGTCCTGTTGTATTATGAAATCAATGAAGTTCCTCTTCTCTCACATTTCTTTCCAATAATATAGTTAACAAAATGAAATTACATTTTTCTATTGTCTAGTAGAATCCTATTTTTTCTGTATACTCAAAACTAACATAGAAAGATACTAAGACTACATGGGAAACAAGATAAAAAAGAGCAAGTTTACCTCTTCAGACTTCTTCTCCAATTGCTTTTCAAACAGCACTTTATTTTCTTCTAGATGATCTAAATATAAAGCTATATCTTGCTTACAGATTTCTAATGCTGTCTGTAATTGTTTGACCTAATTAAACAGAAGAAAACATATAACAATGGAAAAAGACTAGCTGCTAGAGATAAGGCTAGCCTATTAGCTACACTGAAAAACAAACTACATTTGGCTCTTGCTATCCCTGAATGGTTTTCATCTCAGATGATTATTTGAATCACACTAACTTGATGACTACTTGCTTTTTCCTCCTTTTCTTTTTTCCTTTATCTTGCCTATTTTGTAAGCTCTGATGATAGGGTAGGTTTTTTATTTATCTCTAAGGTGCTCTGGAAGCCTTTGTATTCCTGAAAAGTTAACTGCTATGTTCAATGATTAAGCCATTTAAACAGTAGTAGTAGTTGTAATAATACATTCATATAATGGTAGAATTATTTGACAAATGTTAACAATTTAAAGGAAATAATGGATTCATAGATGTTTTCTTTAAAGACTAAAACAGGTTGCCCATTACTTTAGGCCAAAAGTGAAATCACTACAGGGGATTCATCCACTATTCTGCTACTTTTCATTTTGAAAGAAAATGAAAGATAAGGAAAAAGTTTAAACAATACAGTAGAACAGAAAGCTATCGCAAGCTCTGAGAAGCCACAAAACTGTACAAACCTTGACTGTTTGATCAGTAAGTTGGTCTTGTAATTTCCTTAAAGCTTCATCTTTTTTTATTTTTTCTTTTTCCATTTCCTGTTTTTATTCAGAATCAACAGAATATTTGATATTATTAAAAAACAACTGGGGCTTTTCTATTGTATTTCTGATAATGGGTGACAAATTCTCAAGCAATTTGACTGTTGCCTGCTTTTCTATAGAATGCTGTCTTAAGGCATTTGGATTAAATTCATTTTCTAGACTTCCCTCCCATTTTGCACAATTGTATTATTATCTTTTCCAGGGCGTCTGTTTTCAGGTTTTCATCCTTTAGGCATCTTGCTATTTAATTTCACATTCCTATTTCTTAACTCTGTGTCTCCAGCACCAACCAAACAGCTATGCCAGTAGGATATGGGAGTTCCAACAGCTCATGAATTCAAGAAAGATTCAAGCAATGGAAAAGGCTCTGTCTCATCTTATAAAATACTGCTTGCTTGACCAAAGCATCTCAGATTGGTTGATAGTGGCAATGGGATAGAAGATAGTAAGAAATCATAAATCTAGCCATATCAAGATACTTCAAAAAGATGTAAAATGATAATATGCACATAAGTTGAGCTCAGCCACAAGGACACAATTTTGCAGTTTTCTTTGTCACTATGTGGACATAATTTGCCATGATCTCCTTCCAGGATGCATTTTAACATCCCAAAGTAGCCTACACATTGGCATTTCCTGATGGTCTTCTATCCAAATCTTAACCCGGCCTAATCTCATTTAGCTTCTGAGCCCAGTCAAGGTTGGCTAAGTACTACCATTTGCCAAAACATAGAAATGTGCAAATTCATAAAATAAAATATGAACAATATATTTAGCTGATCCAACAATGAACAAGTGACTGTTGGGCAGTGTTGAGCTTCAGGGTTGTGACTATGGTCTAGACAACAGATTTCTTGATGTTTCACTGGCAACTGTGGCTGGCATCTTCAGTGACAAGGTAGTCTGCTATGCAGACTACAGGCAACTGAGCAGGGCCTGACTGGGCTCCTAAGTTTATAGCCAGGTGACCTGACTTCAGTCAATCAAATCTTTATTACAGTCATAGACCAGCACAAACCTGACTTCTGATTGATCTTTAGACGAGCTGGTATCTGACTGATGCAGGTTGGTGAGAGCTGGTGTATGTTTCTGCCCGATCCTGATTGGTCATTTTGGTGGTGTTAGATCCTGATTGGTCCTTCATTCATGCCAGCTTCTGATTGGTTGTTTCTGGAATGCTGAACAGCCACAATTGCTGGCAAAATATCAGGAAATCTGTCTAGGCCACAGTCACTAAACCCTGAAGCTCAACACTGCCCAACAAATACCTGCCATGAAAGCTTAGATCAGTACAGTGGAACCTCGGTTTATGAACTTAATTCGTTCCATGACTCTGGCCGCAACCCGAATTGGTCGCAACCCGAAT